TGGGGATACAAGAAGGGGAGGTATGAGGAGGTCAGGGAAACATGTTACTGAAAAAGAAGTTGTGGAATTTATGTGTTTTTAATATTTTTTATGTTTGCTTTTTTCTTTTTGTTTGTATAAAAATTGGAAACTTTAATAAATATTTCTTTTTAAAAAAATTGAATTACTGTGTTGTGAAATGATGTAGAACTAAATTACTGTGTCACGAAATGATGCATGTCTAAAATGTATGTCACCAACATGAAAAGTTTGGAAAGCTCTGCACTAAGGGTTGCTTCAGACCCTTGTACATTTCTTGTCTACTGGACTTTTCTTTGAAGAAAAAGCATGGCAGTCATGTGCTTGTTAGTTTTGCATACAAATCTGTTCCACTGCAGAATGGAGTTTATGCTTTTTCCTAGAGGGAAGTGTATTCCATGCTTTTTTCTTTAAAGCGCAATGTGTTTTAATTGCCTTTGGTAGGGGAAGTTAGTGTGGTTTTGGTGCATTTTTAAAAACTGAAGCAAACCACAAAACTGTTGTTTTGATTTTGTTGTGAGAGGGTCAATGGATTTCTGTACATAATACTGCATTTACTCCTTTCATCTGAAGTTGCATGTGCTTTATTAAATTGACCAAAGTGTAATGATGTTGGTGTTGACCTTCTTTTCAGTATGCAGGAGTACCTCTTGATTAATTGCTGTAGCTATTCCTGTGTTTTGTAGTTCTTTGAACATTCGGGATTATTTCATTTTCTTTGGCAAATGTGGATTTGCCCTGGTTCTGTAAGGCTTAATACACTGATCTGATCTCTTTCTCTTAATACTGGCAGAATTGAATTCTTGAGGAGCATATCTCGCTAATGCATACACAGAGAGCTGTCCATTATTGTCTGTCTTCTGGAGCTGGAAGATCATGGGAATAATGAAGCACTCATTCTAACCTTGAATGTTTTTGTTGTCTCTGCATTAGGAGGATAACAGGCAAATGTCCAGGTCATATCTGTATTCTTGAGCTTGGGAATCCAACCTGCTTCTATTTGACTAGCAAAACCCACAGTTTATGAGTAGCAGATCACATGCAGTGTATGGGCTTTTTGTGGGGCTACTTTCCACCCTTAGGAATGAATGGAAACCATTCATTTATATGGGAGGCAGGAAATTGGTGCCCTTGGGGAAGACCACAGGAGGAAGGGCTAACCCTGTTCCTAGTGATCTTGAGCTATGAAAAGCAAGGTAGCTCTTGGTGCTGCATGCTGGGTTCGGTTTCTTGGTCATGCCAGAGCAGTAGGTTCCAAAGGCAGCCAGTGCAGAGTCAGTTTTTCTTTCAAGAGGGAAAAGTACTAGAGACTTACGAATCATAAAACTGTAGAGTTGGGAGGGACTCCAAGGGTCATCTAATTCCAATTCCCTGCAGTGCAGAAATGTCAATGTGCAGTCCCCCATCCAATTTGAAACCATACCGGATCCCGCTTAGCTTTACCACAGCAATACAGGTGACTCTTGCAGTACGTTTCCGAGCACAATTCAAAGTGTTGGTGTTGACCTTTAAAACCCTAAACTGCCTTGGCCCAGTATACCTGAAGGAGCGTCTCCACCCCCATCGTTCTGCCCAGACACTGAGGTCCAGCGCCAAGGGCCTTCTGACAGTTCCCTCACTGTGAGAAGCTAAGCTACAGGGAACCAGGCAGAGGGCCTTTTCAGAGGTGGCGCCCACCCTGTGGAACGCCCTCCCATCAGATATCAAAGAGATAAACAACTACCTGACATTTAGAAGACATCTGAAGGCAGCCCTTTCATGGAAGTTTTTGATGTGTGACATTTTAATGTATTTTTAATCTTTGTTGGAAGCCGCCCAGAGTGGCTCGGGAGGCCCAGCCAGATGGGCGGGGTACAAATTACTATTACTACTACTATTTATCCATCCACAACAGGGGTAGGGAATGTTTTTCAGTCTGAAGGCTGCTTTCCCTCCTGGATAACGTTTCGGGGGCTGCATGCCACTGATGAGTGTGGCCAGGGGCAAATGTAGGTGCAGAAAGGATGTGACTCTTTCCTTTCATACAGTAGGTTACGTTCCAGTCAGGGAAAAGGCAGAGGAACCAACATCATAGACATATCTCCGTCCTCCTTCCATGCAGGCAAGCAGGAGGCATTATTGCAGCACACTTTTCGGGCATGTACTCAAGGAGGGGGGGAGGCAGTGAGGGGTGTGGACTTGGGAGAGTCTTGGGGAGTGGTGGATAGACAGCCCTGGAGGGCAACATTTGCTCCCTATTTACAAATTCACAATTTGGTCAAGCCACATCAGTCTTCAAAGCAGCACGTCTTCCTCCCCAAAGCATCAAGACACTCTTGAAACATTTCAGGGCTGTTTTATTTTATTTTTCATTTGCCCCAAGGAGAAAGTCTGTGAAGGTTGTGGGGACCACCCCCATTTTGTATCTAGATCTCCCTGGTGCTAGCCACTGCACCACATTGACTTCCTGCCAGTAGCTCCCAAACTCTCTCCAGAGCTTTCTGCATAAGGTGGTTGCCCTGCTTTCCCCGCGTGGGTTGGAGTGTGGTAGAAATGGCTCTGGAGGTGGGTCCAAAGCTAGCGCTTTCCCTTGCAAGCCCCCTTTGCATGCTGAACACTTAACATGAGTTAATGGTTTCTCCCTTTTGGTCTTGTCACTTTGCATATTCAGCAACAGGACATCCCAAGTGTAAAGGAAATCCAGTTATGTACAGTGGTACCTCGGGTTAAGTCCGGAGGTCCTTTCTTAACCTGAAACTGTTCTTAACCTGAAACTGTTCTTAACCTGAAGCACCACTTTAGCTAATGGGGCCTCCTGCTGCTACCGCACCACCGGAGCATGATTTCTGTTCTCATCCTGAAGCAAAGTTCTTAACGTGAAGTACTATTTCTGGGTTAGCCGAGTCTGTAACCTGAAGCGTATATAACCCGAGGTACCACTGTACATGCATGTGTAAACCATTCCTGAGAATTCAGCATGCATCCAGTCTCCAGTCTTTTACCCCCCACCCCACCCCACCCCCACTCCCAGCTTTCATATTTTTAAGTTCCTTTCTCCTTTTAGAGGATCCTTTAAAGAAGCAGCAGCACAAGAAGTTTACTGGGTTTTTACTTCATTATCCTTGTTAGCTTTGCTGTTCATGAATAAGGGGTTTCTTTGCCAAGTGGCACTTGACTGGTACTGGTGTGTTTAACTTAATGTGGTGTTCTATTTTTGATGGAGGAACGGGAATAACCTCTCAGCAAAGGCATTTGCAAGGTTGCACAATGTACTCCTTTATTCTTTTGGCATGGAGGTTTACACTTAAATGCAACTTCTGTGGTGTGTGTGTATTTCTGACTGTGCAATGACGCTGTCTTTCCGGCAGTGTTACTACTTAAGGATGACTCGGCAGACTTGGGCATCCCTTAGTTTCTGAAGACCTGCACAGGTGTTTCTTATGCTACATGTTTTGGATCAGGGCTGGGGGACCTGGAGGCCCCGCTCCACCCTGCACCCCATGCTGTTGCCTGGCTGGAATGTGTCCTGTTGAGCCATAATGCCTCTTGCTTTCCTGGATAGAGAGAGATGTATGTGTATAAACCTCTGAATTTTGAATGGATTGAATGTACCTCACTGTACAAAAGTAAGAGTCGCACCTGTTGCTTTCGCCACAGTCATCACTGGTTTGAAGCCCTGGGAAGAGTCACATTTTAACTGTAGGTGTGAACACCTTTGTCATGAACATCAAAGAGCTTAGGTTGGCCTCAGTTCTCCAGTCAATCATTGGGGGCTGTTTGTCCCCTTATTAGGCAGTAATTCTTTTTATTTTAATGGGCAACAACTCATGTCTTCTTTCCATTCTCATCCCCTTCCCCACATCTAAGTGCACAGTGGTTCCTTGGGGTTCCTTGGTATCCGTTGTATAAAATTCAATCCGCAACTGAACTTGGCAGGTAGTGCAAGCATTAGAGGTTGCTGTTTCTGACCACTCGTAGGGCGTCAGTGAATGGCAAGATAATCTTGCGTAGTGTCACAGTACTGCACAACATTGCTGTGACTCCAAATGGGATTCTTGCTTTGGAGGGATTGGGCTTCCATGCCAGTGGTTCCCAAACATTCCCCTTCTTCCATGGACCTCTTGAAACTTGTTGAGGACCTTAGTGGTCCACCTAGTAGTAGTAGTAATAATAATAATAATTTATTATTTGTACCCCGTTCATCTGGCTGAGTCTCCCCAGCCACTCTGGGCAGCTTCCAACAAAGATTAAAAATACATTAAAATGTCACACGTTAAAAACTTCCCTGAACAGAGCTGCCTTCAGATGTCTTCTAAATGTCAGGTAGTTGTTTATCTCTTTGACATCTGCTGGAAGGGCGTTCCACAGGGCGGGCGCCACTACCGAGAAGGCCCTCTGCCTGGTTCCCTGTAGCTTTGCTTCTTGCAGTGAGGGAACTGCCAGAAGGCCCTCAGCGCTGGACCTCAGCACCCGGGCAGAACGATGGGGGTGGAGATGCTCCTTCAGGTCTACTTATTTTTCTGCCTGTTAAAGCAATTGAAATTCCTCAGAATTCAAATTGTAATAAGAACTAAAAGAAGTAACAAAAAATACAATTCAGAATCGATATGACTATTCAGTGCAATGGATACGCATATCCCAACTTCAACCACAAATCCACAGACACATAGCAAACTACCTGACTGAAGCTTATGAAGCACTGGCGGTTCACAGTTTGAGAAACCTCTCTTCCTTTTAAGTTTTCAGAAGTGCTTTCCTTCAAATCTAAGGATCAGGGCTGCAAGTGCCTGGGGAACAGATTGCAAAAGTGTCATTGGTGCTCTTGTATACTTACTATGCCCACCGGTGCTGCTTAATAGGGAAATTTCACAAATATTTATGAGACAGCATCTTTTGTTCAGAATCTACCCATACGCTGCAGTTTAAAGAGTGTGTTGCTGGTGGCTGCTGCATGTATATGGAACGTGTAATGGAACTTATTTTCCTCTCTCCTTTTTGTTTAGGTGTTGAAAACGCATAAGGTTTAGAACTTTGAATGGAATAAGCATGAAGAGCTTGAAAGCAAAGTTTAGGAAGAGCGATGTAAGTATTCGGCAGCTCACTGTGGCTGACTCATATTAGTTTGTCTGTATTGTGGAAGCATTCCTTCAGTCCCACCTTGATAAAGCCGTTAAGTTAATGAACTACGAGGGCGGAAATGGTAATGTTTGTGAAATGTAGCAGGAGAGAACCGTAAGACTCAGAATTGTTTCTGTTCTTGCATGGTGTTTACTGAGTCACCTTAGCATAATATGTACATAATGTTATTTGTATGCTGCCTTTCTGCAGTTCTGATGATGCTCAAGGCAGCTTGCCACATGGAAAATGTGGAGGAAATACATAACAAAAGCAGTCATAACAATAAATGAAACATTAAAAATACATACTTGTACTCTGTCATGCACCCATGCACACTGATGACACCACAGAAATAAATACACACATTGCAGGTTTTGAATAAGTGTTTCTGTATTGACATTCAGTCATATTTTAGGATAGTTTATAATAACAGTAGCAGCAACATATTAATATCAGTATATATAAGTAGAAATGTAAAAAAATAAATAAATCTTTGGTTGCTTCAGCTTTTTACCTCCAATTCTTGACTTTAATGATTAGAGAATCTCAGGCTGAGACTAGGGAAAGGCCATTTCACACGCAAGTCTTTTTCAGATATACACTTGACAGGGACCTCTTGCAGACAATTATTGCTTGTTGATGGGTGAATCTATATGAAGCTTGCATTTGCCACATTCTCCTTTGGATGAAACGATGTCTAAACGATGTTAAGCCAGTATTGCATAAACCATTTTGGGGATTAAGTGCACCCTGCCAGGATAGTTTCTGTGCAATAGTGTTTGGTTGGTATATGTGTGTTTCATCCTTTCAGGGAGGGAGGGAATCAAGGAAGGGACAAAATGTGTTCTATGTGTAAAGGATGGGATAGAAGTGACATGATGGGAGGATTTGTGGCTTTCCCCCCCTTTTCAAATGGATAAGAAGATTGAAGCTGATTTTCCCTGGCATTATTCTGCTCACTCTACTATTTCTCAGTGATTTTTACCTGCTCAGCAAAATCTTAAGATTAAACCTATCCTTTACTTAACTGGTTTGATGTCATTCCAGAAAAGAGAAAAGTAGTATGATGTAGGCTTCATTCAAAGAGCTTTTTGATATACTGGAGTGCTATCTAATTAAACAGGTCTCAACAGCAAGTCGAAACCCTTATATGTGTGTGTATTACATGTTCATGTACTTGGAGCCAATCTTACCCTCCTTTTTTTTTTAACAGAAAAAGCTCACACTTCAGAGCTTTATAATGATGGGTAATTAGCTATCATTGATTTTTCTTTATGTTTTAAAATTTCTCCCTATACTTAGAACGATGCCTATAGCAAATATTTCCGGCTACCTTCAGATAACTCCGCTGCTTCAGAGCAGCTGTGGAACGATTGCCATGATTCAATTGCTATAAAGCCTCATGTTGGGTTTTGTAATAAGCTTGTTAATTCAAACCCTCCTAAGCTACTTCTGGGAAATGGATTTACAGACTCAACGGCTGGGGTGCTGCTACGTCTTTGCGGTGATCACAAAGGCTGAAATGTGTTTGCGACTTAATAGGCATAAGCACGCTGTTATTATTTCTTAAAATTGTATACTGTCCTTTATCCGAAGACCACAGGGTGGTTCTGAGCTAGATGGACCAGTGGTCTTCCTCAGTATAAGGCAGCTTTTTGCAGAAGGTCCGTAATGCTACTATGTCAGACGGAGTTTGTGTATTCCTCGATTCTGCCTTTGTAGGTCCATTGGCCGTTCTGGAGGAAGATGGTCAGATCCACAAATATAGCTTGACTTGCTGGTAGCCAACGGCACCTGTCTGTCTGTCTCTCTTCAAGCATGCATGCCTTCAGCTCAGTGTAGAACCAAGGACACATGCGGTATGTCTTCTCAGATAGCCTAGTGGTCCTTTGAGGCTAGAAGAGAGAGTGAGTGAGAGGTCTCCGTACGTGGGCCTGGTGTCTTGCAGTATAACTTGCCGCTCACCTGGTTGCAGCTACAGAGGTGTGCTAGAATAATACAGATATGTATTGCTGAGTGCATTGCTGATTTGGCAAGATGCAGGCATATGCTCAGTCCTCATCAGTAGTTTCACACGCTAGGTACCAGCTGCTCACACTGCCTTTTTAATGAAGCAGCAGACTGCTTGTTTGATATGGAGCAGTTCATCGGGTGTAAACCTCAATGGCAGCTAATTTTACTTGCACGTTACTGTGGGAGCTTCTACCTTCCACTATGGCTTTCAAAGGTCTTAGAACCCCAAGGTTCTCTTGCCTTCAGAAAATCCCTGCTCAGCCATGCAAGTCTTTGGGGGAGCTTGGACCGATCACACGCCCTCACCAACCCCTCAGGGTTGTCGTGAGGTAAAAGGAGGAAGAAAGAACCACGTACACTGCCTTGAACACCTTGGAGGAGAGGTGAGATACAAATGCAATAACTACATAATGAATGTTGGCCAAGCCTCATGCCTGTGAAGTATTGGCAGACTTGAGGGGAACAGCAAGGTTTGCAGAGCAGCTCAGTGAAGAATCTTTGCACTGACTGACAATGGGTGGGGAATGGAAAATGGGGCAGGAGGGAGAATGGAATATTGTGGAGGGGGGCATGTTTGGCTGACTGGAACAGGAGCACAGCACATTGCGACATTTTGTTGAGGTCCCACTAGTTATGCTTATAAAACCCTAAAGAAAAGCAAGCAAGGCCCAGTTCATGCAATCCTTGAGTGAGCCACATCTTTCCTGTCTGCTCTGGCAGTCTGAATCCGTGTGGCTGTTGTTGGTACACACTGCTGCATCGCAAGTAGGGATTCAGGTGCCATTGCTTCAGTAAATCAAGCAAGCTCAATCCAGTTGGGGTTGGGTAGGGAGGGCGAAGAAGCCTCTGCCTCCTTGCTGAATTTCAAAATCTTGAGCTGCAAAATACAGTGAACCTGCCTCCTTGTTTCTGATCCTTTTCACATTGCTTTCCACTGGCGAGTTCTACAACTCCAGTTCACCACTGTATTCTTTTGCAGGAGAAACACTGATTCGGAATCTGAAAATAGCAAAAGTGCCTTGAGAGGGCCATGCTTACTCATCACTGCTTTAACAATTACCACTGTGGGCGATGAATGAAAAATGTCAGCCCTGTTCTAGTAACACGCAGAGGGTTGTGTGTTCTTTGACAGGGGCAATATTGCTTAGAATACAGAATACTGGAATACTGTAGTTGGAAGCATCGCTAAAATGTCCTGCCAAAATTATGGCAACCCTAGTGTTGGTTCAATCTATGGCAGGGGTAGTGAACACTGTGCCCTGTAGCTGTTCTACTAAAACACCCACCATCTCTGATCATTGACCATGCTGGGTTGATGGGAGTTGGAGTCCCAATGACATTGGCACTGCACTGGGCACCCCTGGCATGGTCACTGTCATCCACATGGAGGGAAACTTGTTGTGTTAAAAAAAACAAACCGCTCCAAGAGAATTAGCTAATAAAATGGCACACTCTGCTTAACAGATGGAAGCTCTGTTTCTGCGATGTAATTTTTTTAATGACCACTTTTAACTGATGGGTAGTAGAAGGAAGAAAAACATTCTTTGTCATGTAGGCGAAACAAATGCTTTCGCTCTCTCCAGGCTTAACTTGTAAGTAGGAGTCTGAAGGACAGTTTGCTCTGATCTTATCGACACCTCTTATAAAAGACTTCCTTTTAATCCAACCAGGATAAATTCCATTGTTTTTGTTTACAGGAGGTTGGGCTTGATTTATTAAAATAGCTCCTGGCCTTAAGGATCCTCATTCCATGGAGTCAAGCTAAATTTGTACTCCTAGAATAGAGAGCAGAAGAGACTAGAGGAGGCTGGCTGTGTCTGTCCTGAAACAAAGCCTCTAGAAACTCTATTGTCAGTGGAGGCAAAATGAGATTGAGAGCAATTCACTAATCAGTGGATTCAAGTCAGGTTAAGGCACGGTTATTTTAAAACTTGTTCATGCAGAGTAGTTAAAAAGTACAGCATACGCTGCTCTGATTGGCCCTCCCGAGGATGGGCTGTGTCTTTAGCAGCGCACAATTTTTTTCCTTTTAAATGTCTTTTCTTCTAAATTGCATAGTTGTCTCCCTGCTGTGTTACATATCTTTAAGGTATGTAACACAGATACCTTAAATGTATCTAACACAGATATATTTAAGGTATCTTAACACAGCAGGGAAAAGGGAGGCGGGTGGCGCTGTGGGTTAAACCACAGAGCCTAGGACTTGCCGATCAGAAGATCAGCGGTTCGAATCCCTGCAACGGGGTGAGCTCCTGTTGCTTGGTCCCTGCTCCTGCCAACCTAGCAGTTCGAAAGCACATCCAAGTGCAAGTAGATAAATAGGTACCGCTCCAGCGGGAAGGTAAATGGCGTTTCCGTGCGCTGCTCTGGTTCGCCAGAAGCGGCTTATTCATGCTGGCCACATGACCCGGAAGCTGTACGCCGGCTCCCTCGGCCAATAAAGTGAGATGAGCGCCGCAACCCCAGAATTGGTCACGACTGGACCTAATGGTCAGGGGTCCCTTTACCTTTTAACACAGCAGGGAGACAGCTTTGCAATTTAGAACATAAGATGCTTATACACAGTGCTTCTTTTCTGGGGGTACACAGTACCAGCACCCCTTTTTTCACATGTTAAGTGTGGCACTTTCTGTAACAACTTCATGGGGAGTACTGGCACCTTTTTCTGAAGAAGAAGAAAAAAGGACTCCTTATGCCAAGTTAGACCATTGCTCCATTTAGCTCATTATTGCCCACACAGACAGGCAACAGTTCTTTGTGGGCATACACTGGTCTCTCTCCCCCCCCCCCCGGAGATACTGGGTATTATTGTTGTTATTTATTTAACTTATATACCACCTTTCATCCAAAGATCACAGGGCATTTTGCAGTATAAAGTTGTTGGACTTTAACTCCCAGAAGCCCCAACCAGGATGGTCAGTGGTCAAGGATGGTGGAAATTGTAGTCCAGA